AATATGATATAATTAGATAAAATTGTATATAAACATTTTTTCCCGGGTTTGTTTAAATTAGATGAATAATTTTTTCATTCGAAAATTATTAACTGAATTAAAAAAATACTTTATAAGGACTATTGGAGAAAACATTAATTAAAATTTAGTACATTTTTCTATCAGTGTAGGATCTAGAGGGTTTTAGGAGGTTTAGGAGGGTTTTACCGATAACTCCTCTTTTAAACCTCAAAATGGGAAACAGTCCGTTTTCTGCCGTTTTCAGGCACAAAGTAGGAGCTAAGTACAATACAATTAGAACCTATCAAAATCCTCCAGAATCCTGAGATGTGAAAATAAGAGGTCGAAAGAAGGAGTAAAATTTCGACTCGGGATGCGAAAAGAGGAACACCGTTTGTCATAGATTTTACGTCGATCTTTATTCGATAAAATATAGATAGAAGGATATATATGATACAATGGAGTAAAAAAATAAACGATTAAACACAATATATACGAAATAAAAAAACGAGCAACGCAATAAGATAAAACGATTAATACGTTAATAAAATGAAATTGTATTAAACCAGTAATATATAACGTTTTTTTTTTACACAATTTATAAAGTAATTCAATTCGCGGAGTCGATGCTGGCGAAACATTCGCGTCGCTCGATCCACCAATCGCGCAACTTCATCACGTTCTCCATGGCGCAGCACCGTTGGTGACGCCGGCAGCGAAACGCGCGATCGGTGCAAAGAGACTCCAACCGATCGACGTCCTCGTACTCCGCGTCGACGGTCACGATCGTCGCATCGACGTCGCCGAGAATCTCCTGCAGCCATTTCTTCTTCTCGAGACCTTTCACGTAGATTCGCGCGTTGGGCGTCTCCTCCGTCTCACGCAACTTGTTCAGGTTGTCGCGCACCGCGCGTCGAATGATCGTCTTCGCCTGGCGATAGTCCGTGTCGCCGTCCTCCCAACAAAGGCCGTGATGGTTCGCTATCAACCAACTGGCTCTCGCTTTCTCGGAGCTCGTCAACAGATTCCAACTTATTGGTGCGTGAAACACGTGATGCGCGAGCACGCGTGTCTCGCTTCGCAACACGGCCACCTCCTTCACGACGAATCTGTCGCCCACCGTGAATCCTTGCAGGTCAACGAAGATCGTCGTTGTCGTTGCCGCTGTCGCCATTGCGTCGGCGCGCGTTGGAAAAAAATTAAAGAACAGACGTTCGTTTCAAGTTGCTCGTTCCGAACAGACTGAGAAACGATGGAAAAAACCCGCGAATTTATATATTCCTCGTTTCCGGGATAAAAATAACTTCATAACCATATTTTTCCGTTTCCCAGATGAGGTATTCTCGCAATCGCATTTTCAATTTCCCGGATAAGGTATTTCCACAACTTCAATTTCCGTTAGATAATTTTGCGCACCACGTTGGTCAGCGGACTGTAATCGATGACTCGATCGTGAACGATGAGACAAAAAGCTGTGGTTTTCGGCGGAACGTTTTCCTTGTTTTCGAACTCGATGCGCACGTCCACGGTGGCGCTCTTCACCAATTCGTTTTGACGGGAACAATCGATCACCGCGAGCGAAGCTACCCGCGCGAATTCGCGCGGGGAAAAGAGCGCGTCGTCGCGACCGTTCCCGTAATACGTTCATTGAAATTTCGCGTACATCTCGTACAGCACGGCGAACTTGTCGCTCTCGAAATCCACATTCACGTCGTCGTAGGAATAGAATTCCGAGTTGAGATACAATTTCACGTTGGCGAGCGCGCAATGATCGAACGTCGCCCGCGAATTCGTTTCGCCGTCCGGTCTGCAGCGCGAATATGACGTATCGCGGCTTCTCCAATTGCGGCGCGGCTTTCACGGCCCACGAATGCTTGGTCGTGCTCTGCAGCAGGGGAAATTCGTACAGATCCCAAGAGCGAAAGCCCGCGCTCAGAAATCGTCCGCTCTCCAACGTTCGCAACAGCGATAATTTAGTCACGGCGTTCAGCGCCACGTGAGGCATACGCCATTGCACTTTCAACAACGTAATTTTAGGATCCTTGGCCGGATCTCTCGGCACGGTCTTCTTCGGATCTACGACGCAGTTGTGGTCGCTACGAGAGCGTATCAGGATAAGCTCGTGTCGCGCGTTTATCACCAAGCGTCTGTAGTCCTCGCAGAAACCCAAAAGAATATTCAAAGGTACGCAAAAGTTGAATTGATGGGACGCGTTGTTCAGATTTGATTCGCTCGTCGGATAACTCCATCCAGCGTTCTGCAGTTTTCTGGCTCGTTCGACGGTCAGCGACACGTAGCTCTTTATCGTGCTGGTTATGCCGACGTTTCTACACCGGTCGATCTCCACGCCGTCGAGCTCGTATCGAATTTCGTCGAACATAAACGCGACGCAGTTGTTGACTAATTTCGCGTATTGTTCCTCATTCGTCGTGCCGTCGTCGTTGAGTCGTCCCTCGACGTACAGGAAACTTTCGCACGGCAGTGTATACAGATCCTGCTGCTGTATGGGTATTCGTATCTCGTCGTTGTGTCCGAACGTCGTGTTGACGTACGGGTTATACGTGTGAGTCTCGATTCCGACGATGCGCTCGTCGAAGATCGGCTCACCGCCGATACTCAGGATGTCGGCCATGATTTTTCCTCTCGAGGTAGAAACGGCTCGACGGTGACGCGTTTCTCACGGCGAGACCCAGCGATCGTAGGAATCTGACGTTGGCGTTGCTGAGAACGGGTCTCCCTTCTCCGCCTCTTCCCTTTCTTACGCTTCCGATCTCGTCGTAGAACGGGCTAGCTCGCTCGTTCGTACAATTCGCGCTAGATCCGTTCAGAACGAGCATGCCTCCTCTCGCTCTCTCTTTCTTCAGGGATACGCGCACACACACACACTAACCGTGACGACGACGTACGTGCAATCTGATCGTTATCTCCTCGCCGCGAAAGTCGATCAGCCGATCTTTCTGATCCACGACTCGCACCGTGATATCGGTGACGTTTCGCGCGACGATCGGGAGGTAAATGATCTGCGTCGGAGTCTCCGACAGTTTATATCCCGGTGGAACTTTCGGCGCGAATTCGTGTATCGCGTGCACCGATCGTCCGTTGCTGTACGCTCCCGCGGTGATACTACACTCGATGCGAATTATGTTCACGCTCATGACGTCGACGGGTCCGTCGGAAACGTACCATTTGTTCGGTTTTAGAATACGATCGCTCGAGAAACCCAAAAGAGAACCGATATTGTTCGGTTTTGTAAAATTCACTCGGTAGGCGCACTTTATCTCGCTTCTCATGGTATTCTCGTTGGCGCGAAGATTGAGCACTCTGTCGCCACCGTCGTCGTCCCCGTATATGTCATAACCGTCGCCATCGTTGTCATCGTCGTCGTCTTCGTCCACGTATGCGCGATAAATCTCGTCGTCGGTTTCATCCTTCTCCGTTCGGTTTTTTTCTTTTACCCGTCCAGCGTCGTCGGTCCGCGATTTTCCTCTTTTCTCCTTAATTTTTTCTCTCTCGCGGGCGCGATGTTCGCGATGGAGAATAGCGGCGCGCAGATATCTGTTCACGGCTCGCAGCTCGTACGAACCTTCCGGAACAACGATTCTCCGGTCGTTCTCGCCGTAGTAGAAGCGATTGTTCGCGGACGTAACGTTCGGTATCGAATTGTACGTCTCAAAAGTCGCCAAACCCAGTTCGTATTCGCCGTCGCTCAGATCCAAAGCGGGAAAGTGACTCGCCGTGAGAACGCTGCCGGTCTCGGTCAACGTGAGCGTCAGCGACATCGCGGGAGAACGTCGATCGTCCGCCCGCTCCCCCCCAATCGATCTCGCGAAGAAATCGCAGGCACAGCTGTCCGCAGATTCTCTGATCGAATGTCTGAAACGCCCGACGATTGTATGTCACGATCGTGCTCTCGTCGCCACCGTCGCCGAGATACCGCGCGAGATCCCTCGGCGGGCGGAGATTTCCAAACGCGTCGAAGTAGATCGCCGAGTTCCCTTTTTTCGCGTAAGCGACCCAATGCGTGCCCGGGCCCACCGCGTCGTCGAGATTCACGATGCCGCACTCCGCGCGTCGCACCCTCGTCGGCAGAGCGTCGCGCATGAACACCCCGCGGAAGAACGGCACGCGCAGGCGACGCGCCGCTCGATCAAGCTGTTCGTCGGTCGTGACGCCGTACGGAGGTAGACGCGATAACCTCGCCTTTTTACGCGAGGTTTTTTTTTCGCCGACTTTCCTCACGCCACCTCCGCGCTTCTTATACGGCGCGAGGTACAATCCGCGACCCTCCATCGCGCGATTGTGTCGCTGCAATTCGTCGAGCTGTTTTTGCGCCGATTTGTTGGCGCTCACCGCTTTGGCCACGCTGGCCGCGCCACCGATCAAGGAACCGAGAGCGCCCAACATCGGTAGAAAGGGCAAGAAGCCGCCGCGTTTCGCCGTCGGAAGCATCCTCCGCTTCTTCCTTCTCGTCTTCGCGCTTCTCCTCAATCCCGTTCTTTTTCTCGTTTTCCTTTTGCGTTCCATACCCATGCCCAGCTTCGTCTTCGTCTTCATAGCCGCCCATACGGCCGCCGCGGCGAGTCTCTCACCGGCCGTGGAATCCTTCGCGGTGACGCGCTCGCGCGCCCTCTCGGCGAGTCGTCGATCGGCGACGTGTCGCTCGGCGAGCTCGCCGCTTCGCGAATACGCGATGTCGTGCTCCCGACACGCCGCGTCCAACGGATTGATGCCTTCTTCGCCGCGCGCTAGTCTCTTCGCTAGACGCGTACCGGGCCCGCAGAACTGATAACCGGGTATGTGCAGTTCGAAGGGAAGAGCGTTTATCGCGCGATTGAGCAGACTGGTGCCACGCATTCGTTCGCGGTTGCGCGAGGAGCATTCGCTTCTTCTTAGTTCGAACGGGAAGTGGAAGATACACCGTTCACAGGGCGAAAGCAATTGCACTCGTGGCAGTCCTTAATGAGCGGCGGCGGACCGTCTATGTGCGTTCGCTGCCACGGACGATTGTAGTGTCGCATGCACGGGCGATATCTCTGCACCTCGGGATCCGCTTGTATATGTTCCGGCAAACGGTCCCACAACAAGTGCACGTATCTCCCAAATTGACGCAACAGAAGGACCTTCGGAATGTATTGCAACTCTTCCACCGTTAGATTGAGAATTTTGTAACCGTCCACCAGTATGGGAAACACACTACTGTGAAACATCTCACCGATGCGCGCGAACGATTCGTTGATTTTAGAAAATAAATTTATTTTTTCTACGGATACGACGACACGCTCGCGCTACTTATACCCGCGCGCGAGACGTTTGCGCACGCGCGACGAAACGAAACGAAGTCCGCGTTTCCCCCTCTTTTTTTCCAGCGATCGAGAGACTTATCGCGAACGAACCGAGCGGAAAAACTCGAGAGAGAAAGAGAGAAGGCAAACATGCGATTCGTGCGACAGACGGCGACGTTAGGAGTCTCGAATCTGGATCGCAAAACGTCGGCGGGGTCGGCCGCGACCGAGAGAGGAAACGGAGAATCGCGCCGGCACGGTCCTCTCCTTCCGAACGTCGTCCGTTGCATCATTTGCGGTCCCTCCAATTGCGGTAAGACGAACGTTCTGCTGAGCCTGCTGGAACAACCGCACGGTCTCCGTTTCGAGAACGTATACGTGTACTCGAAATCTCTGCAACAACCGAAGTATCGATATCTCGAACGATTGTTCGAGCCTATAGACGAGATCGGCTATCACGCGTTTTCCGACAATCGCGACGTCGTTCCGCCCGACGAGGCGCTTCCCGACTCGGTTTTCGTCTTCGACGACGTGGCCTGCGACAAGCAAGACAGAATGAGGGAGTACTTTTCTATGGGTCGACATTCAAATATTGATTGCTATCTCTGTCAGACGTACGCCAAGATACCGAAACATCTCGTGACAACACAAATCTGCTGATCCTGTTTAGGCAGGACGGCACCAATCTGCGACACGTGTACGATGATCACGTGAACATCGACATGTCGTACGACGAATTTCGCGCCTTCTGTCGCGAGTGTTGGCGGCGCACCTACGGTTTCGCCGTGATAGACAAGGACAGCGCGTTGCGAGGCGGACGGTACAGACGGGGTTTCCACGACTTCGCCGTGCTGTAGGGTCAATCAGTGCGCCTCGTCGAACGACGCGAGTATGAGCGCGATCGCGGAGAAGAGAACCGCGCGAGAGATAGCCAAGACGCGCGCCTCGATTCGCAGAAAGTACGCCGCTCTCAGGGCCGGAAAAATTGAGAGCGAGATCGCTCTGGAAAAGAGGTACGAGCCTATCGTCAAACGGCTCGCCGATGACGTGGACCGCAGAGGTAAAGGACCTGGCAAAATCGACGACGACGGCGTTGGCTTTGCGTTCCCGATAAAGATGAAAGCGACGAAGAGAGCGAAGAAGGACAGCGAGAACGGCGACGACGACGACGACGACGACGACGACGCTAGCGCCGACCTGGAGCGCGATTACTGGGAGGACGACGACGTATTCGCGCCAATTGGGACAACCGCGACGGTGGAAAAAAGAGAGTCGCGTCCGGCACGGCTGAGTTCGGCTCCCGCGACGACGACGACCGCGATGAGCTCCACGCCGATCCGCGACGATTTGGTCCAGTTGTTACCCAGAGAACGCGAGATCGTATCGGAGACGACGATTCCGCCTCCCACATTGGAGACGTCCGCCGGGAAATCTTTAAGTACGGCGGAAAGTCGCGACGTTCTGACTAGCAAACTAGGACCGTTGGGGCGGGAATACTTGGGCGCTCTTCTGGGCGGCGACAAAAACAAGGAGATCGACACCGTTTACGGAGTGCATTTCGGCGACAAAGGCACGATGCTGGGAAACAAGCGATTCAAGCTGAAACCGGATGACACCATGGTCATCGACGGTGTACCGTACAAAAGCACGCGCGGCCTGTACGAGTTGATCTTCATGGGAAAACCCGACCCTAAAATCTACACGGAGAAGGACAAATTAACGTACAGGAGCATACTTTTTTCCACCAGCGCTCACAAACGCGGTGGTAAAGCCGACAATCCCGTCAAGGGCAACAAGGGACCGAAGTACAAAAATATAATAGCGCTGCTCGTAAACCTGTCTCTCAGAATTGGAACTACGAAGGGTGCCGGGCTACCGTCGGCCATGCGACTGACCGACAACGTTATCGATTACGTTCACTGGGACGATCCCAACGAGCTGGTCGATAGACTTCGACTGCTGGACGCCTCTCGTCGGGCCGGCAACGATGCTCACGACAACGAAATCCTGTCGATAATCGAGGAACTTTGCGAGGCCGGCTTTGTCATAAATTGATCGGTCGCGACGTCAGTGCGAGTCGCGCGCCCGCCAGCGCGATGTCCGTGAACAAATTCGGCATGTCTCTGACGAATCGGGGCAGCGGCGACGGAGTCGACGGTGCGTCCGCGGTGAGATTGCGCTCCTCGATCGAGTCCCTGCGCAATTACGCGCGCAACAACGCGCTCTTTGTGAGCGAGGATTTTTACGACGCGAAGGAGCGCAAGATACGAAGAGTGGCCGCGCCGGAGATCGGCACCGACGCGGCGAACAGGAGTTACGTCGAGGACGCGATTGGGCAGCTGAAAAGCGT